ACGGTCGTTGTGCAGTTCTTCCATCGTAGAAGTTATTTAGTGCTGTATAATATCTACGAGGGACTATGTAGAATGTCGTTTTTGTACCTGTGGGTCGCTTCAAACCTTTTGCCATTGTATTTTTTAGGGCAGCTTAGTGTCTTTTCTATCTTTGTGATGTAAACGTTGATTAGGGTTTTCGGAAAGGTCTTTTTTCTCTACGGAATAACCGTTGAAACATATGTATTTGTTTTATTTTGATAATTTATCTCTGAGGGTTGCCTTTAGCGAGTCGATTAATTAGCTCATTTTGAGAAAGACATGATGTTATCTTAATTCTAACTTTGAGGTTTAATCAGTTGAACTTTTTTAGCGATATATCTTTCGAATGTTGAAGATGTTCGACCTACATTGCAGTATTACAGCCAGTTTGACGACCCACTGAAGGAGTTCAGACAACGAGCCATATATCTAGCAGAGCAGGTTCGCATTTCCAATTCTACACATTTATTTCCTTACCGAATTGGACAGACAGTAGACTCCCATTTGGTAGTGCTGTCGTCTGTTTTTGACCTTCTGGCAGATTCACGGGAAACAACTTATGCTGTTGAATTTGCTGTCTTCGGTTTACTAAGTTTGTAGAATTAATTATTTTTTTATTTGGATGTACTCAGAAATTTTTGTCATTTAATTAGTCAGATCTGATTTTGCTGTCTTTCGTTTTTACAGTTCTTTAACAAATAACTTTTTAGGAACGGCAGAATAAAGAGCGTTTAGCGGAAAGCGACAACTCTATTCTAAAACGTTATTCAGGGCGTTTATTTGGTTACTGGAGACATTCGGGGCTGTAAACTTGATTATTTACTCATTGCTTCCAGTGCGATTATTTGATTGGTTTACTGGTTGAAAAAAGTATTCCGGTCTAGAACTCGTTTACTTAGGCGGGTTGCTAAATACATAGAAAGATATAATGCATGAATTGTGTACCTTTTTATTATTTTGGGTCTCATGAGTTACTGTTTGCTGTTTCTCCTTTCGTATGCCGATAGACCACTTGTCCGCGAAAAATTATCCCAATTAATTAGTGATTCACTAGATGGTTTAAAAGTTCCATGATGGAAACCATAGATGAGTACATACGCACGCTTAGTTGAAGAATGAGTTCTTTTTTCTGTCATTCTTATGTATAGATGCCATCATTATCGGATCCTCCTGCCTAAAGAAATATGAATTTCTGCCTTTTCATGTTTTACCAAGTACTTTTCCAGAAAAATTCCTAGATTTTGTTAATCAGCGCTAGTTCGATGGATCTTCCGGTGCTATTTTTGTAATCCACTGATTTAATTGGAGATTTTGTTGACACATGTATTGTTTTTTTTTTTTTTAAGTTTCCAGCGGTTTTTACTTTACAGAAACTTTAGTCAAGACTAGTTGGTAATGAGCTGTTACTCTTTATTTGTTGCGTAACTTCATTGTGCAATTCAAACAGTGTCTGTTATATCGTGGAAAGTAAAGGTGAGTGTTTGTTTTCTACCTCGTTTGTTAATTTGATTTACAAACTGAGAAAATGGCATTTGAGTTTTAAGGAGGGCTGCTTTGAGTTGTTACAAATTCTGTAGTTGTTAGACAGCACTAGTTCTTGTTATTGTTGCGTATTCTAATATTTGTTGTAGAAGGCGGCTTTATATGATTTAGACTAATAAAAAGATTATTGAGTTTTTTTTGTAGTTTTCGCTTGACTGAAGTAGTTCGGGACGTCGTGTTTCGTTATCTGTGTTTATGGATTTTCAGGTTACGCTTGTTTAGACATCATGGATTTAAGGGTTTTTGTTTAAGAAAATTCATTCAGTTGGGTTATCGTTCTTTGTTGTTGTTACAGAAATGCAAACCTATTTTTTTATTAAGTTTTATATCTTCTACGTACCCTAGTTGCGTCATTTGCGTGGTAAAGTTACCGAGCAAATTAGTTAAATTGGTTAAATTGGCAAAACAATTACAGCAAGATTCTTTTAATTCTTCATTTAAGTAGGCAGATTGGTGGATATTCGTCTGCGCAATTAATTTTATAGTGGTTTAGTAATTCTGTCAATACAAATTAGCTTTGCTCGTGCTGCTGGAGAAGGATGCCTTTGCGGTCCATATGCCACTGGAATGGCTGTTTCGACTTAATCAAGTAGTTCCTTGAAATAACGACGTTTGTTCTTTCCTAAGTAGTAATTACAACTCTAATTAGTAGGACAGTAGCATTTTTTTTTGCTTTTAATTGCTGTAAATTCTTTAGTTTTTACTGTTTTTTTTCGAGTCAGTGAGTTGGCTCTGATTAAATGCTTTTGTTTGTACCTGTTTAGTGGGTATAAAAGGCAAGTTTTTTTGTTGTTGGTTTAAATTCTTTAAATTTGATTTGTTTTAAAAGTGTTTTCACATATCAGCTACTATTCAAGTGTAATTATGTGTTTTTGCTGTTTTTGTGGGGCACGTTCAATCGGTTTTTATGGTTTAATGTGTTTCTTAAAAAAGCTGAATAAACTGACATTGATTGTTTTCGAGGCGATGATAATCGTTTATTTTTCCACACAATCACTGCAGTAGTAAAAATAATATTTCTTTGTTAACATACTGTTTTTCCGATATAGTCATGCTGCATTAGCATTTGCGTAGTATCAGTTGGTTAAATGTACACTTTTTTTGGGATTGGTGCCGCGGTATTTGTTATCCAAACAGTCAATTTTTAGGCACGTTTTAACCACTCGGAGCTCATGTTATCTTATACGCGACTTTTGTTTTTGGCGTACCCTCTGTTTTTAACTCAAAGTTTTGCTCAGTTAAGCACACGACAGGTCAGTTAGAAAGATCTTCGTGTTTTTTTCTCGGGATTAAATTGTTAGTAAAAGTTTAAGCAAAAGCCTTTGGTTGTATGCATAAAAATTAATTTTTTTTGATTAAGAGAGCTTTTCAATTCTACTCACTGAATGGCAGTGCAAAAGTAGAAATCTGCGGGCTTACGAATACAGAGCGGTTCCGTAATGTGCTTAGCCCCATGCTCGTACCACGTACTGTGGGATCAGACAATCACAAACGTGTCGCCATGGTTAGTTACATCAATTACGTCACTCAATCGTGATATTACGTCAGCTACTTCTGTTACACTAGCTCTGATACTTATATGCCCATTTTTTGCTGTAATAGATTAAATGGGTCTTGGTATCTGTTTTTGGTACCAGAAAGTCATATTAATTGTGGTTTTCTTTCAGAATTGTCAGAAAGAATTTATGAAAGAATTTGAGGGGTGGGGTTATGAAGTAAAGGGTTATGTCTAAAACTAGATTGAAATAGAGCGGAGAACTGTTTGCTCTGTGCAAACATCTGCCTCTTTTCGTTTATCGAGGAATTATAACATTGGACAAGTTACCATGGGTTTTTTATATTTTTAATTTAATTTTATCGTCTAAATCATTAATTATTTTTCCAAGCTTTAATCATATTTTCTATGCAGGACAAAATACGAGCAGTTTTATGCTTTTCAAATCTGGCATTTTGAAAGTCATTCATTGTTTTTGATTTAACCTCATCAGGTCAGAAATTCGTAAAATTTCTTCTAACGCTTTTTAAAACTTTTTCCGGAAAGCTTTGATGCTGCACGATTTCGGGGACTCAGTTAAACTTATATCTAAAGGTTGTAGCAAATTGGTTTAGATTATTCTTTTTGCTTGGAAAGAATTTCTTTTATTTAGGTGACAGCTTAACAGAACAAGCGATTTGTCTGATAACTGCTGTGGACACTTCAGTGTTAACTGTTTTGCAATTTCTGTAATAAATACTTTGAAAATACTTCAATTCCCGAGAAGACTTGAATTACAGTGAGGCAAAATATTTTACAACGAATACGCTTTTTTATTTTGATCAAAACTGGAACCTTCAGTTATTTTTAAGTTTTCGGTTTCATCTCAAATATTAGGCTATAAAGTAGGACATTTTTACGCCTGGACAATGAAGAGTTTAGGGGTTTTGGAAATTTAATTTTGTTCAGTTTTAGAAAATTTGTTGCACACGGAAGTACTCAGTTAGTTCATTGTTGTGGCCTTTAAAAATATATCTTGTTTTCATTTTTTACATGTACTAATTTTTTCAATTTGTAAAAGGTATACTGTCATTCATTGTTCCTAATATTAATTTTAGGAATTTTTAAATCTCTTCCTTTCACAATTGCTTGTTTTGGTATGTAGCGATGAACCACCCTAAAGTCTATTTTCTGAGAGACGTTGCTTATTGTTTCTTTCTTAATTAGCTTTATCGTTCTGTGTTTCAGTATATCAAACAAATCCTGGATGATTTGGGATTCCGAGTTCAGTGGGATCGTTTTGGCGACCATACACCTTATGGGCTAAAAACATTTCGCAATCTGATAGCAACTTATCATTTGAATGCTCCTAGGCGACTAGTCCTGGCTTGTCATTATGACTCTAAAATAATGCCTGAGTGAGTTCACCTAATTAGTAAATGCTGAAAGCTTTAGGTCAGCAATTAGAAAATTTGTTGCTATTAACAGATAAATAGATAAATATTCCACTCACAGTAATACAAGAAATTAGATAAAGTATACTTTATCGTCTTTCCGTTATTTCCTAAATTTCTTGGCAATTATGGTGCTGTGCAGCGTTACACCTTCCTTTGCCGTTTAAAATGACTAGCTTTTTAAAAGCAGCGCTTAGAAACAGGTGCGGTTTTTAAAGTTGGTTCTACATGGAAGTAAGCTACGTTTTGCTGATTGGTATCGCTGGTGAGGGACAGAAGATTTCGAAATGTCACTTTAAGAAGATTACTGTCAGTTCTAGCATTTAGCTGCATAATGGCTTCTAAAGTTGTCAATCCTTTTTTTGATAGTTAGAATAAGTAGAAGTAGCATTGTCTCGTCAAACAGTTAGGTTGTTATGTTTTTGGATGAAGTGCTTTAATGTAATAAGGTTCAAAAGACATGATGGTTTATTACGAAGTGGTCTAACGGCAGCCGCAAGACAGTTTTGGTTTTCTATTCTTACAATTCAACGTGTTAAACGGATGCGTCTTTAAAAAATTATTGTTATTATTTATATAGTTTTAAATCGCCCAAGGATTATTTTACCGGAGAAAACCTCCGGGAGTGAAGTAAATTAATTTGTACTTTAAAGAGTTGATTTGGTCTTATACATTTCTGCTATCTTCAGTTTTTAATTTTACAGGAGGTTTCTGGCATAAACTTGATGGTATTATAGTTTTCTAAGCTTTTTCGGGGTTGAGAGGTGGTAGGTACTCAGCTTGTATTAAAAATTAATTTCTCCTGAAGTCTGCACCTTTTTATTTGACAGCTATTCACAATCTGTAGTTTTTGATTTTTGAAAAAGCTTTATCTGAAATTTAATTAAATTCTGTGTTAATTCCTGATGGTCTGTATAGGGGGGAATTTATTGGTGCAACTGACTCGGCGGTACCTTGTACGATGCTATTAGATATCGCTATGACTTTAACTCCTTACTTAAGACGACACACAAATCCTGTAAGTTTTTTGCTCACTAGTGATTTGAAAAAGTTTTCTAGTTAGTGTTGTCTTGATTGCGATTGTATTTTTAGCATGTAACACTGCAGCTTGTGTTCTTTGACGGAGAGGAAGCTTTTGTTAATTGGGGCCCTACTGATTCTATATATGGTGCCCGTCATCTAGTTAATGTTTGGGGTAATACGTGGTATCCGAAGTCCGTCGGGTCATCTTTTGACATTGTAAAGGAGCTGGATAGAATTGTTAGTATAGGCCTTATTACTGTAGAATTGTGGTCTTGTGACTTGTTGTAATCAAATTCGTTTATATTTTTGATTTTCTTTCTAAAAGTTATTGCCGTTGTGGTCTTTATCCCCTTCGTTTTGTTTGTATTTCACTGTTTAATAGAGCAGAGTTTTTTTTAGGATGTTCTGGTTCTTCTCGATCTTCTTGGGGCAGCGAATCCTGTGATAAGGAATACATTTGGACACAGGGCGAATGACCTTTTCAACTCGTTCCCCCAGATCGGTCCGTTAAAATTTTTTTCATTCTATAGATACCTTCCAAACTGTAATTTCTGCGTAGTAAAAGGAACAAGCCAAAATCTTTTTAAGAGGTGGAGCTTAAGAATTCTGGTTGTTTGCACAGCCTTCCTACGATATTTGACTCAAAATTAAGTTACGCTCAAGTTGAGGATGATCACATTCCATTTGTCAAACAAGGAGTTCCAGTAATTCATCTTATCCCTTTACCATTTCCTCCGGTATGGCATAAACTGACGGATAATGCTGACGCATTACATTACCCAACTATTGATAATTTAGTATCAATAATTCGTGTATTTGTTGCACAGTATCTTAATCTGTTTAAATAGGATAAGGTGCATTCAGAACTTTGAAATTTTTTAGTCTTTTTTTGACTAGAAGTTAAGAATATTAAAATACTAAAATGCTGGCTTTGCGGAAGACCGCTTTCACTTCCTCATTTTTTCAAATGTAGTTTTAATATGGAGATGTGGAAGATGAAACAGCGCTTCGTATTTGACTTATAAAAGCATTGGACTTTTTCTTGCTTATGATTTAAGTCGTTCGTTTGAGTTTTTTGAAGTTCTGAATGCCATACTAGATGAGATTCCTATCATGTTACTTGCTGAGGGATGAAACGGCGGAAGATTTGCCACTCATTGTTTTCAGCTGGATAAAGACATTTCATTCGTTGGGGAATTCATTTTTGTGACGGTATGAAAATTGTTGTAGTCATTTGTTTGAAAAGGAAGTTTCTTTTTTGGAAAAATTACTCCCACATTGAAATAAATATGAATTTTCCTGTAAAAATGGTTTTATTTTGATTTGGGTATGTTTGTTTGTGATAATCGTTATCAGCGGGCTTTGTATACTGAAATTAAATAGGGTTAGGGTTGAGCGTACATAATAGTTGACGATGTTCAAATATTCATTGTTTGAATTTCTTATCGCGTTATTGTCTTTTCATACATGATATATACATATTTATTATCTTTACCAATTTCATTATACAACTCTGTGTTATTTTAAAGTTATGATAGGTGTTAAAATTTATGGTAGTTAAACTCGTTTCAAGATTTCTGTTCAGCTTTTTTTTGAAATAAGTTTCGGCTCACTTTCTTCCTCACAACCCTTCTGACTCAATTTATTTTTTAATCTTGTTTTCCTCCGGTCATTGTTGGCTCTGTTGATTTGATCTTGTTTATTGGACAAGAGTAATGTAATTTTGAGTATTTGAAGTATTTTTTAGATAACTTTGTCAGTGTTCCTCAATTTATTAATTTTTGTTTTAATTCTTTTTGTTCCTCAGGACACCGAAGACCAAATTTGTACAAGCATAGTGGTATTATTTTGATTATGATTCTGTGTACCCAATGAAATGAAAATTATTTATGCTTTATTCCAAGTACTGTGTAAAGTGAGCAGGTTGTAGTCTTTTCAGGGGTGTAATAGTCATATAATGTGGAATACTTTTACTGCAACTTTCTAGAAGAATGGAATTAAAAAACAAGTTGATGATGTTGTCAGTTATAGTGAAAATTGGGTGCGTTCTCATATGAAGTACACATTGTAAGTGCCAATTAAGGGACATGAGAAGGTAATGGGAATTCTACTGAAGTTAGTGGCTGATAAAAAATGCGTTTGTGATAAGACTGAATGTTACAGAATTCTTCGTAGCGGTTACAAGGTGAGATTTGTTTCACAAGTAGGTCAAACGTTGGTTTTTGTGCACGGTTATATATTTCAACTTAGTGTTTTGTCAGATAAATGAAGCTTTGATTATTCGTTATAGTCCTCAACCGTATTTTTCTTTTTTTGCTTTCTCTGTATGCTTTGTGTTTTGTCCTAAGCTTAGCATTTTGGAAAAAAGATCTGTCAAATAGAGGATTGTAGCTGCTTGAAAAAACAATTGCTAACTGGAGTGTTGGTTGAGAAGTCACTAGTCAGACATACTGGTTTACTGCTTCTATGTAATCATTACATTAAGTTTTTAAATAAGCCAAAGGGAAGTTAATATTTTATATACTTGTAGTTTGCTCATAATGTTTGTGGTTTTGTGAAAAGTAAAGCTTGGAATTTTGAATTTGGATTTTGTTGCATTGTTATCACTGTGGATGGCGTCGGAAACACGTTACAATGGGTATTCGGCGAAAAATCTACTGATTTTGAAGTTTCATAAGCTCAGTCAATAAAGTTGGTATGATAAAATTTGAATAGTAAGATAGAAGTAGGTGCTGGGTAAGTTGTAATTTATCAACATTAATGAGCAGCATATTTGTTCTCTGAGCAAGAAAGTTGTTTTTTTTTGAGAGTTTTAAACGATGCATCTAAAAAGTGAAAAAACGGAACAGTAGTTATGTATAAATCAGTGCTCAGTGAATTCGCTGTACTGTTGGAAAAATGATGTGAAGTTTATGAAAATGGAAATTTTGAGACATGAAGTGGAATTGCGCATGTATTGTAAAAGCATAAAAATAGCTTTAAATGCACTAACATTCTTTTTTTTTTTTTTGGTAATATCAAATGGAAGATAACAACTGACACAAATTAAGTCAGAGGATGTAGTTGAAAAAAAAAAAAGAAAAAAAAAAACAACTACAATTATTTTGATCGTATTTTGCTTCATTACTGTATCAAGTGTATATATTATTTGGACGTATAAGCAAACTGAGGTCTTTGCAAATACGTAAGTGTTAAGTGTCGGTGTTTAGCAACAAATAAAATTATTGGAAATTGCAGCTTTAAATTGCTGAAAATGATCATTTAGTTTACGAAATTTATTTCTTTTATTTTATTTTTTGCTTTATTCCTTTGAGGATTTAGATTTTTAGAGGCTTTAGTGTAGTAGTCTATTTCACTTTTTAATTTGCTTTTTCCTTCTTTTTACTTTAATAAAAAAAAGTTGGAAATACACATAGTTGTTGGCTGTTAATTTTTATTTCAAACATATTTGGTTTTGCAAATATCTTTGTTGCTGTTGTGGCTTATTCAAATTTCAACTTAGCAAAACGAGGAAGGCGACAAACGAAAAATTTGAACTGATTATTATGGTCGGAAAAAGCAGAAAAAATAAGAAAATTAAAAAGGTCTATTAAAAGCCAAATAATATTATATATATAACGTATAAATATGTGAATATATATATATATATATATATATATAATATTTATTCTAT